TGAAAACATGGGCACCCTCATAGATATCATCCTGTCTAATTTACCCTCTAAATACACCTCCGCTGTCTTCAACCAGGATCTCAGCGATCACTGCCTCCTTGCCTGTGTCCGTAATGGGTCCGCGGTCAAACGACCACCCCTCATCACTGTCAAACGCTCCCTAAAACACTTCAGCGAGCAGGCATTTCTAATTGACCTGGCCCGGGTATCCTGGATGGATATTGACCTCATTCCGTTAGTAGGATGCCTGGTTGTTCTTTAAAAGTGCTTTCCTCTCCATCTTAAATAAGCATGCCCCATTCAAAAAAGTCAGAACTAAGAACAGATATAGCCCCTGGTTCACCCCAGACCATGGAGAATAAGAGCACCTCCTCCCAGCTGCCCACTGCACTGAGGCTAGGAAACACTGTCACCACCGATAAATCTACGATAATCGAGCATTTTGCTACGGCTGGCCATGCTTTCCACCTGGCTACCCCTACCCCGGCCACCAGCTCTGCACCCTCCGCTGCAACTTGCCCATGCCCCCCCCCCCCCCCCCCCCCCCCGCTTTTCCTTCACCCAAATTCAGATAGCTGATGTTCTGAAAGAGCTGCAAAATCTGGACCCCTACAAATGAGCTGGGCTAGACAATCTGGACCCTTTCTTTCTAAAATTAGCTGCCGAAATTGTAGCAACCCCTGTTACTAACCTGTTCAACCTCTCTTTCGTATCATCTGAGATCCCCAGAGATTGAAAAGCTGCCGTGGTCATCCCCATCTTCAAAGGGGGTGACACTCTAGATCCAAACTGTTACAGACCTATATCCATCCTGCCCTGCCTTTCGAAAGTATTTGAAAGCCAAGTTAACAAACAGATCACCAACCATTTTGAATCCCACCGTACCTTCTCCGCTATGCACTCTGGTTTCCGAGCTGGTCATGGGTGCACCTCAGCCACGCTCAAGGTCCTAAACGATATTATAAGCGCGATCGATAAAAGACAGTACTGTGCAGCCGCCTTCATCGACCTGGCCACGGCTTTCGACTCTGTCAATCACCGCATTCTTATTAGCAGACTAAATAGCCTTGGTTTCTCAAATGACTGCCTCGCCTGGTTCACTAACTACTTCTCAGATAGAGTTCAATGTGTCAAATCGGAGGGCCTGTTGTCTGGACCTCTGACAGTCTCTATGGGGGTGCCACAGGGTTCAATTCTCGGGCCGACTCTATTCTCTGTGTATATCAATGATGTCGCTCTTGCTGGTGGTGACTCTCAGATCCACCTCTACGCAGACGACACTATTTTGTATACATCTGGCCCTTCATTGGACACTGTGTTAACAAACCTCCAAACAAGCTTCAATGCCATACAACAGTCCTTCCGTAGCCTCCAACTGCTCTTAAACACTAGTAAAACTAAATGCATGCACTTCAATCGAACGCTGCTTGCGCCCGCCCACCCGACTAGAATCACTACTCTCGGCGGGTCTGACTTAGAATATGTGGACAACTACAAATACCTAGGTGTCTGGTTAGACCGTAAACTCTCCTTCCAGACTCACATTAAGCATCTCCAATCCAAAGTTAAATCTAGAATCGGCTTCCTATTTCGCAACAAAGCCTCCTTCACTCATGCTGCCAAACATGCCCTTGTAAAACTGACTATCCTACCAATCCTTGACTTCGGCGATGTCATTTACAAAATAGCCTCCAACACTCTACTCAGTAAATTGGATGTAGTCTATCACAGTGCCATCCGTTTTGTCACCAAAGCCCCATATACTACCCACCATTGTGACCTGTACGCTCTCGTTGGCTGGCCCTCGCTACATATTCGTCGCCAATCCCTCTGGCTCCAGGTCATCTATAAATCTCTGCTAGGCAAATCCCTGCCTTATTTTAGCTCATTGGTCACCATAGCAACACCCACCTGACTATCCTACCATATGTATGCGCTCCAGCAGGTATATCTCACTGGTCATACCCAAAGCCAACACCTCCTTTGGCCGCCATTCCTTCCAGTTCTCTGCTGCTAATGACTGGAACGAACTGCAAAAATATCTGAAGCTGGAGACTCTTATCTCCCTCACTAACTTTAAGCATCAGTTGTCAGAGCAGCTTACCGATCACTGCACCTGTACACACCCAACTACCTCATCCCCATATTGTTCTTTATTTTGCTAATTTGCACCCCAGTATCTCTATTTGCACATCATCTTCTGCACATCTATCACTCCAGTGTTAATACTAAATTGTAATTATTTTGCACTATGGCCTATTTATTGCCTTACCTCCATAACTTACTACATTTGCACACACTGTATATAGATTTTTATTGTGTTATTGACTGCATGTTTTTTTTATCCCATGTGTAACTCTGTGTTGTTGTTGTTTTTATCGCAGTGCTTTGCTTTATCTTGGCCAGGTCGCAGTTGTAAATGAGAACTTGTTCTCAACTGGCCTACCTGGTTAAATAAAGGTGAAATAAAAAATAAATAGAAATGCAGGCAATGAGAAGGGTGGAGAGGGAGGGAATGCTTCCTCCGTAGCTGTGATAAAAGGGCCAATGACAATAGTGAATGTTCCCATATAGGTGTGTGGACCCCAGAAGCTGTGCGTTGACAAATCCAGGTTTTTGACCTTCATCGCAATCGTCGTGAATTGTGCTGCGCAAGTAGAAAGGAGGTCAGAGAGAATTGCCATTATTGTGAAAGTGGCCAGATGTTTTCTGGATGCTCGAGACATACAGTGGGGGAAAAAAGTATTTAGTCAGCCACTAATTGTGCAAGTTCTCCCACTTAAGAAGATGAGAGAGGCCTGTAATTTTCATCATAGGTACACGTCAACTATGACAGACAAATTGAGGAAAAAAAATCCAGAAAATCACATTGTAGGATTTTTTATGAATTTATTTACAAATTATGGTGGAAAATAAGTATTTGGTCACCTACAAACAAGCAAGATTTCTGGCTCTCACAGACCTGTAACTTCTTCTTTAAGAGGCTCCTCTGTCCTCCACTCGTTACCTGTATTAATGGCACCTGTTTGAACTTCTTATCAGTATAAAAGACACCTGTCCACAACCTCAAACAGTCACACTCCAAACTCCACTATGGCCAAGACCAAAGAGCTGTCAAAGGACACCAGAAACAAAATTGTAGACCTGCACCAGGCTGGGAAGACTGAATCTGCAATAGGTAAGCAGCTTGGTTTGAAGAAATCAACTGTGGGAGCAATTATTAGGAAATGGAAGACATACAAGACCACTGATAATCTCCCTCGATCTGGGGCTCCACGCAAGATCTCACCCTGTGGGGTCAAAATGATCACAAGAACGGTAAGCAAAAATCCCAGAACCACACGGGGGGACCTAGTGAATGACCTGCAGAGAGCTGGGACCAAAGTAACAAAGCCTACCATCAGTAACACACTACGCCGCCAGGGACTCAAATCCTGCAGTGCCAGACGTGTCCCCCTGCTTAAGCCAGTACATGTCCAGGCCCATCTGAAGTTTGCTAGAGTGCATTTGGATGATCCAGAAGAGGATTGGGAGAATGTCATATGGTCAGATGAAACCAAAATATAACTTTTTGGTAAAAACTCAACTCGTTGTGTTTGGAGGACAAAGAATGCTGAGTTGCATCCAAAGAACACATTTACATTTACATTTTTAGTCATTTAGCAGACGCTCTTATCCAGAGCGACTTACAGTTAGTGAATACATATTTTTTAATATATACTGGCCCCCGTGGGAATCGAACCCACAACCCTGGCGTTGCAAACGCCATGCTCTATCAACTGAGCACCATACCTACTGTGAAGCATGGGGGTGGAAACATCATGCTTTGGGGCTGTTTTTCTGCAAAGGGACCAGGACGACTGATCCGTGTAAAGGAAAGAATGAATGGGGCCATGTATCGTGAGATTTTGAGTGAAAACCTCCTTCCATCAGTAAGGGCATTGAAGATGAAACGTGGCTGGGTCTTTCAGCATGACAATGATCCCAAACACACCGCCCGGGCAACGAAGGAGTGGCTTCGTAAGAAGCATTTCAAGGTCCTGGAGTGGCCTAGCCAGTCTCCAGATCTCAACCCCATAGAAAATCTTTGGAGGGAGTTGAAAGTCTGTGTTGCCCAGCGACAGCCCCAAAACATCACTGCTCTAGAGGAGATCTGCATGGAGGAATGGGCCAAAATACCAGCAACGGTGTGTGAAAACCTTGTGAAGACTTACAGAAAACGTTTGACCTGTGTCATTGCCTACAAAGGGTATATAACAAAATATTGAGAAACTTTTGTTATTGACCAAATACTTATTTTCCACCATAATTTGCAAATAAATTCATTACAAATCCTACAATGTGATTTTCTGGATTTTTTTCCCTCATTTTGTCTGTCATAGTTGACGTGTACCTATGATGAAAATTACAGGCCTCTCTCATCTTTTTAAGTGGGAGAACTTGCACAATTGGTCGCTGACTAAATACTTGTTTTCCCCACTGTAGTTGCAGGGGATCTACAGAAGATGTTGGGAGAAGGAGTGCCGCCCTCCCAGGCCTGTGGGCCGAGAAGGGATTAATTTACCTGAACTCTGCTGTAGTATGGATAGTTGGCTAGGGGTGGGTAGTGTCGTATATGTAGTTTGGGGTGTTGCTTTTATATTTGTGCACATTTTTTATTTTTTTTTGCAGATGAAGTCGAAAAACACAGTTGTATTGGATGCCAACCGCCATTTAACCCCATTGGAGAAGAAGTACTCTCATTCATATTTTTAAGGACAGGTATACCCCACACCATTCCAACACAGAAAATCTGCTTTTTAACATACTTAATTACCATTTTATGGAAGGAAAACAATTGTCTCATATTGTAATTAATTATAGGTCATATTTCATAGAAATCTGGCAACACTGGACAGTCAATTTAACTTGATGGCTGTCCTCAGACTGAATAGGAAACTTCATGCAGATTCCTTGTCCCGTGACGGAAAATATTTGCGCTGCACTAAAGCGCTTGGGTTTGTGTTACATTCATTTAAGACCCGCAACATGGCAGGTCCAGATCTAGTAAAAACTGTGGTGTACACGATTAATAATATATTACAGCAAGAAAAGTATAAAGCTGCACTTGCAGTTGTTAAAGGATTCCGAAATGGTGCTGTGTGAGTTATGTTTACTTAGTTACTTACTTTCTAGCTAACTAGCTAACTAACCAACTTACTTTGCTTTGCTTATTTCTAGCTAATGTTAGCTAGCTTGTCCACTTAGCGAAAGTCTGTTATCTACGTTAGCTATTATTTTACAGCTTGCTATCCAACGTACAGTAGCTAGCTGCCCTTTGAACTAGTTAGCCAAGGTTTGCCAGCAAGCGTATTGAAATAACTATCTATGTAGCTATTGGTCAAGCAAAGTCAGCTAGATGGACCTAGCGTTGTTGTTAGTTAGCTACTAACGTTAGTTCGCTATCAAATCCTGAAACCACTTGACATTAGTTAGCCTAACTGTAGCTAGCTAGCTAGCTTGCTAACTCAGTGGTTTGACCTTGCTCACAATTCATACAAGTTGACTGACCTGCCATATCACACACGTGTAAATGACACTGACCTTGAACCTCATATTTCTAATTTACAGTTATGGGGCAAAAATCCGGGCACCCCATGCTCTTGTCATGACGTTTCTCTTCAGAAGTGGGAGGTAAGAATACATGTAAGCACTGTCCCAAATCCCTTAGCTAGCGCTAATATAAAACAAAACTGCATAAAAAATGGATAATGCTCTATTAACAATGGACAATGCTCCCCACCCTTTTTCATATGCTCAGCCTGAAAGACAAGCTGCGAGCCATTGCAAAGGCCACGTACCAGCACTCGCGCAACCTAGCATACTTTGTGTTCACGTACAAAGGACTGCAAGCCATACAGGAGAGGATCCAGGGGAAGAGTCTACAGTCTCAGTCCTTCTTCGCCGCCTGCCTCGGTGGCTGGTTGGTGTTTGGGGAAAACAACAACATCAATAGCCAGGTAATCCAGAACTAAAACATGGCATAAACTGCTCTATTAGGATCTAGGGGAAGAGTTTACAGTCTCAGTCCTTCTTCGCCGCCTGCCTCGGTGGCTGGTTGGTGTTTGGGGAAAACAACAACATCAATAGCCAGGTAATCCAGAACTAAAACATGGCATAAACTGCTCTATTAGGATCTAGGGGAAGAGTTATGAGATATGAAACTACCGCAAGTGCCAGAACCTACCCCCCCCCCGCTCCCTGAAGTCTCAGGTAAGTCTATGGGCCAAATGTCCCCTCCCGAAATTCAAAACATGCCCGGTGAATTGTGATTTGCCCAAATAACCAGTGACACAAAACCAGCGCACTGGAACAGTTGTTCCTTGGTAGTCGTCCCATCCCATTTATGTTACATTTGTCTTTCCTTGAGAGTGTGGCTCAGTTGGTAGAGCATGGCACTTGCAACGCCAGGGTTGTGGGTTTGAATCCCACGGGGGACCAGTACAGAAAATAAAGTATGAAAAAGGTATGCACTCACTACAGTAAGTCACTCTGGATGAGAGTGTCTGCTAAATGACAAAAAAAATCTATATATAGCCAGGTAAATTGACAATACTTATGTCATGAGGGCTGCGCTCAACCTGGGTTACTAATGCCAATACATGACCAATAAAATGTCTAGATAGGTTGCCACCTTGTTGCACTTTGTCCAGTCTTCAAAGTGGTTAGGAGAGAAAAGAGTGGCTATTCAGATGGAAGCTAGCCAATATTCTTCCTTACTGTATTTCTAATTAAATGTTCTTCCTTGTTGTCTTGCCTAATTAAATGTTCTTCCTTGACGTCACGTCTCTAGATCAACATGTACCTGCTGTCTAGGATCCTGTTTGCCTTGTCTCGCCTGGCCGTGGAGCAAGGCATCGTACCACAGCCCAAGCGGGACCCCTTCCCCCTGTTTGCTACCCTGGTGTGGGGCATAGTGCTGTGGCTGTTCGAGTACCACCCCCACACCCTGCAGCCTTCGCTGCAGTCGTCCATGAACTACCTCTACCATGACAGCAACGTGTGGCACGACATCTCAGACTTCCTTGTCTACAACAAGCCAAGGACTGTCGCTCCCAAGTGAGCTAAAGCTAAAATAAGCATCTCAATAGACTAAAGTGGCTTCCTTGCCTCGTCTCCTTTCCTTCATCTGGTCTGAAAGAACTGGACAGGGTGGAAAGCAAATTCCCAGTATGACTTTAGACTGTTGGGATGCAGGCCTGGGCCTGTATTTAAAAAGTGTCTCAGAGTAGGAGTGCTGATCTAGGATCAGTTTTGCCCTTTCGAAAATAATGAATGAGATATATATATATATATATATATATATATATATATAGATAGATATAGATATAGATAGATATATCCTAGATCACTATTTGTGAATACGGGCCCTGGTTCTCTGCCATGTTAAATCAAGAGCTAGTGATTATAAACCTTTAAAGAAATGAAATATTTGTTTTATCAATGTTGGCTTTCATAAAGAACCATGTGCTCCTAGATCTAGTGTAAGTGAAATAAGTAACAATACCTGAAAAGGTGTGGAGGGGATTTGCTCTCCCTGTCAATCTAGAATTGTATCAGTTTTTATTTGCTGCTGTACTAGTTTAGACTATGCATTACCTACAGTTTTGTTTTTTTCAATGCACTCACCGGACTTGATTCATAGAATAGCATATTTTCAAGTAATTACTAGATTATGATTAAGCCACAGCACAGTGTACAATTGTTTAGGCAACACTAAGCTAACATTGAAGTTCTTTGTAATGCTTCTTTCGTAACAATTTTTTTTTTACAAAGCAATAAGCAGAATTTAATGTGATATTTCCATGATCTAAAAACCAGTGTTTTAAATATTTGTATTTGAATATTCATATACTATTCATTTTACTTTCCTTAGTTGTTTTTGGTACAAATCCTCAGTTTGACCTTAAACAGTGTTTGCTTGTTAACATTTGTTACAATGGCTTTTTTGTAACGCAGGTTAGCATGATACAAAATGTACATACAGTTCTCTTCAAAGTAAATTGCCTTTCTTAGCCATACTGTCAGTGAATAATTATTTGAAGAACAATGCTTTTTCATTTGTTGAGGACACATTAACTGTGCTATTCATGGTACAGTATGTGTCCTTTTCAGATCACACTTTACAATGTTTTTTTGTAATTGGTGTAAAAACACTCAAGAATAGTCTTAACACTTTTTACTTCCTCAATCTTTTAAAAGTCTAGCATTGAGCCTTCGGTCTATTTGTTGCTCAATTCAGGTTCATGAGTGAACATGATACAAGCCCAATTCCGTTTCTCACTCCCTCATGGAGTATGCACTCATTCAGTCCCCCTCAAGGATTTCAAACCATTGGATTGGTGTATGCATTTGGCTTGAGGGAGTCTCAATCATATTCCTTTCACCAACCCATTCCTCACAAAACTGCAGGTAATTGGAATTGGGCTACAGATTACATTGTTAGATAATTATACAGGCACTTCAAATGCAACAGAATAAATGCCTGCTTTTGTGATTTATGTAGTATAATATTATTTTCTTGACATATTTGTCTGTGATTTGTGTGGAATGAAATGTGATTGAATTTATCAAACAAAATAAATACAGGGTGATTCATTGTATTTCTGAAATAGATTTTATCGTTGCCCGTGATTGGTGATCCTTGCCTATTTTTATGCACTGAGTAAAAATGTGTTACTAACATAAATTATTATTTTGATGTGCATTACAACTGTTCCCCAACATAAATTATTATTTTGAAGTGCATTACAACCGTTCCCCTTGTGGAATGCTTTGAAGTAGCCACATGGTGGTGCCAAGTAATTCCCAATCCCATGCGAGACAGACAACCCATCCACCATACATTTCAGAAGGAAATACATTAAAAAAATTATAATAATCGTGATGTTCACAACTAGTTAATCAGGTGTTATCTTGAATCATAACTACTGTCAAGCCACAGAATAGTCTGATAATCACCTATCGATTTACAATTCCTCTATACTGATTTATAGTCCAGCGTTTAGACTATTGTTCACTAGATGAAGGTAGTTTACGAACAGCCGTAACCAACAAATGAGTCCCTTTGACAAATTGACAAAAGTATTATTGGACAGTAATGTTGTAGGCCCTTTAGTTTCACAATAGAATCCGCTAGCTAGGAAGTCAGAGAAAAAAGGAAAGGAACAAGGGACTGTCAGGAAGTGTCAGTTCAGTTTGTATTTTTCTCCTACCCTTTCATGTTTTACGGGAGTTTCAACTGCTAGTGCAACCTTAAGAGTGCTTTACAGAGCCGTTCGAATTTAATAGAAAGAGGGTTTGTTTGTTTAACATGAACCTGTAACCCGTACTGCTCATGCCGTGTGCATGTGGTGTGTGCGTGTGTCTTTGTATGCTAATAATAAAGTGAGTCATCCGCAATCTTATCAACTTAATTTTCCACCTCAAAAGCAAAGTTCTTCCTGACGTCGTTTAGTCTCTAGATGTTACATTTAAGTCACTTCCGGAGTCGAATTGACTCCAACCCTGCTACACAATCATGTCTACTATACTCCCACTATGCTGTTTTCCTTCGATTCTAATTAAATTCCGCTGTGCTTTCAATGGCTCCATAAGAAACGCTAGTGGCCCCCATGCAGTCTTTTTAAGGTAATTTTTTTAAATCATCACTGTATGTCTAATAAACTGTGTGTCTTTATTTAATGAAAATTACTCCAATATATATATTTTTATCATTTATTTCCCTGAGCCTCTTTTGGCCCTTGAAATGCTCAGTCTGATCATGTGGGCATTAGGAAACTGGGAAGTCCGACATGACTGTGTTCAAGTGCTTTTAAATTCTGAACAATTCTTTAACTAATAAGATTTTAGCTAGTTTGATACGCTTTCTAACATTGATAATAATAAAGTTAGCTAGCTTGCTTACATTGACAATACATTGGCAACACAGGAGGTTGGTGTAACCTTAATTGGGGAGGACGGGCTTGTGGTAATGGCTGGAGCGGAATCAGTGGAATTGTATCAAATACATCAAACACATGGTTTCCATGCACTTGATGCCATTCCATTTTCTCCGTTCCAGCCATTATTATGAGCCATCCTTCCCGCACCAGCCTCCACTGATTGGCAATATGGTCAGACTAGCTACATTATCAATATTGAGAAGGTTGTAATTATCAAAAACGGATTTGTTGTCATCTATTTTACGTTGAAAACTTAAAGGTCAGTGATGAAACGTCACAACTCAGCATCTCGGGTAACAGCATTTTCTCAGAGTTTCCAACTTGTAATTCCGACTTGGATGGTCATTCAAGTGAAATTTCCCACTGGGCGCTAGGAGCTTCTGATAACTCCGATAGAATGTGAACACGGATATACATACAGAGCTCTGATTGGCTGATAGGATTGTCTAGAGCCCACCTCCTTACCCAGATGAACAGCCATTGGTCTATTATAACCAGATCACATTGCAACGTCATGATGCGGGCCAAAAGTTCTATCCCACCTGAACAGACTGAGATTTCAGGATTTCTTTTCAAATAGATATTACACCAAAAGGCCATTATCATCATTTTCACAATTTTAGATTGTTATTTCGACCTCATAGTGTGGAAATATCATAGAAAAACAGGAATATCACGTTTTTAACAGCACTGCCCCTTTAATTGGCCTGCAGGCATAAAACAGAAACAGGGAAAATATGCATACTGTCTTAATAAAAAATTTTTTTACCACCATGCTAGGATGGCTAATGCTACTTCCGAACATTGCGTAAAGCGTTCAGCTGCAGGGTTCCGGTGTAGAAGTACGCTTTCCACTGTACCAAGAGGACACTGCAGTATTGCAGTTTAAATGAAGTCCGGCCCAAAAACGACAATTCCCATAGATGGCCCCATAGAGAAGTCAAATTTGAAAATTGCAAATGAGACACTTTAGCCAACACACAAAACATCTATTAAATGATTCAAGTAATTGTCTTAGAGGCCGATGTTTGTGGGGAGTGCTAGTGCGCAGGCGTTATGGGCCCTGAAAAATCAGATCTCAAAAGATGGCACAACCATGAAATGGCACATGTGAACGTGAGTAGATTATGTTGAAAACATTAGGCATCCATCTTGGATGCTGTCTCCAGTTAATTTATAAACTCAGTAGCCAATAAGGTTGCACTCCCAGTTTTACTTCGTTATTGTCCTGTAGATGTATCAATGGATGGCGAGCCCATAAACACATCACAGTGCCCCCATGTGGATGGGGTTTTACTACGCGGTATGGACCAGCGATAACTAAACCAGCAGGTTTGGGGAGTAACGGATTAGAAAAAAACTGTAACTGTAATCCATTACGTTACCAGCTAAAATATTGTATTCAGATTACAGATACTTTTGAAAAACTAGATGATTACTTATAGGATTACTTTTAAAATCATAAAGTATGTTTTTTTTCCGCCTCAGCGAGGCTGACCACAACAGTCAGAGACCACTATGATGACATACCAAATGCATTTGATGGATCCCGGGGTAAACAGCAGGAATAGGCTTTTGTAGGCTACATTCCAAGCGTCTTCTAATGGTGCAACTGCTGCCGGCATTCAAAGATTATCCAACTTGAATAAGCGCTTGGAGTTAAGGACGGCAGCAGTGGTGTAGCCTACGGGTGATATGGATATAATTATTTATTTACATAGCGCATTGATGTGAATCACACTGCTGCTCTCTCATTTAGCTACAGTTGAAATCGGACGTTTACATACACCTTTGCCAAATACATTTAAACTCTGTTTTTCACAATTCCTGACATTTAATCCTTATCAAAATTCCCTGTCTTAGGTCAGTTAGGATCACCACTTTATTTTAAGAATGTGAAGTGTCAGAATAATAGCAGAGAGAATTATTTCTTTCAGTTTTTATTTCTTTCATCACCTTCCCAGTGTGTCAGAAGTTTACATACACTCAATTAGTATTTGGTAGCATTGCCTTTAAATTGTTTAACTTGGGTCAAACACTTCGGGTAGCCTTCCACAAGCTTCCCACAATAAGTTGGGTGAATTTTGGCCCATTCATCCTGACAGAGCTGGTGTAACTGAGTCAGGTTTTTAGGCCTCCTTGCTCGCACACGCTTTTTCAGTTCTGCCCACAAATCTTCTATAGGATTGAAGTCAGGGCTTTGTGATGGCCACTCCAATACCTTGACTTTGTTGTCCTTAAGCCATTTTGCCACAACTTTGGAAGTATGCTTGGGGTCATTGTCCATTTGGAAGA